TGCCCCCAAACCTTTTATCTCTTTTTTAAAAAGTTCCCCATTAAGTAGCAAGAATTGAGATCACGTATTAGCCTTCTTCTGTTTTAGTAGATTGTCCAGTTTCTACAATAAGGATTATTCCTGGAATCTGGCTTAGAAAAATAATTGAAGGGTTGTGGTATTTGTGGAGGTGGTTAAAAAATGGTCAGCCTTCCTGGCAGGAACCCAAGTAAAGAGAGTAGCAGAGCTCAAGATGTTTTGCTGGGTTAGCTTAAGAAAAAAAAAAAAAAGACAGATTTACAGGGACTTTTCTTCAAAGACACCAGCAAACAACAGCTATTAAGTCACTTCTGAAGACAAGATAAGCAGAGATGTATGAATGTATATACTTATTATATATGCATGTTGTGGTATGTATATATATGAGAGACTACATACATATATATCCTATCTCTAGCTATGGAGAGGGCCTAGAAGCAATGACATCCTGGTAGCCATAAGCACAACCAAGACCCAGATATTGATTTCACAGAAGTCATTTTGAAGAACTCCCACTGTCCAAGTCTGGGACAATTTGAACATCAAGGTAAATAATAACAGAGTACAACCCTTTGGGCAAAATAAAGTTATTGAGACTGTGCTGATAAAGAAAGTAGGCTTTACCCTATCGTAATACATAGCTCTACAAGGTCTATGGAATTAGAAACATTACGGTTTGGCAACCACCATAGTAATAACTGATTTAGGAAAGTACCAATAGATACTGTTGAGTAAATGTCTGATGAGAAATAGAATATTTAGAATTTCAAAGTATCTCCCACAAAATATATTAGTTAATAAACACAACATCCTTAGTCAGTAACTTCAGTGGAGAAACCTAGTAGACACATCTTAACCACTGATAAAAGCTAGCATCACCAGTAATGGAATAAATTATCATCATGTACCTCCTGATACAATGCACTGTAGCATCACTTCAGAGGTATTTCTGCCAAAAAATGCATAGATCACAAGAAAACATCAGGCAAATCCAAACTGAGGAACATTCTAAAAACGTCAAGGTCATGAAAGAGAAGGAAAGACTTAGAAACTGTTCCATATTGAAAGAGATTAAAGAGACATGACCACAAAATTTAATATCTAAACCTAGGTCTGATCCTGGACCTGTAAAGGACATTAATGGGACAAGTGGCAAAATCTGAATGGGAACTGAAGTTTGGATAGTAACACTGGGTCAATGATAATTTTCTAATTGTGATGGCTGTACTGCAAGAGTGTCTTTCAATTAATGAAACACACACCCACACATTAAAGAGTTGTGGTAGACAGTATTATCCGCCGCCAAAAGATGTCCACGTTCTAATCCCTAGAACCTGTGAATGTGACTGTTACCTTTTATAGCAAAGAGGAATACAAGTTGCAGGTGAAATTAAGGTTGTTAATAACCTGACCTTAAGATAAAGACTACCCTGAATTATTTAGATGGACTCAGTGAAATCACAAAAGTCTTTAAAAGTGGAAGAGGCTGGCAGAAGGAGGGAATCAAGAAGAAATGTGATAAAAGAAGCAGGCTCAACATTATGCAATAGGAAAACTCAATCCACCGTTGTTGGTTCTGAAGACGGAGGAAGGAGGTAACAGCCAAGGAACTCAGGTAGCCTCTAGAAGCTGGAAAAGGCAGGGAAATGGATTCTTCCCTAAAGCTTCTAGGAGGGATCAACCCAGCCAACACCTTGATTTCAGCCCAGGGAGACCTGTGTCAGACTTCTGACCTACAAACCTGTAAGATAATAAATTTGTGTTGTTTTAAGTCACTAAGTTTGAAGTAATTTGTTATGGCAACAAACAGAAAACTAATATAGATTGTGGTGCCTGAAAGGAGAGTGCTGCTGTAACAAAACCCAAGAATATGAAAGGGGCTTTGGAACTGGGCAGTAGAAAGGGACTAAAAGAATTTTGAGGACCATGACTAAAAAAAACAAAAAAACAAACAAAAAAAATAACCAAAAAAAAAAACCAGGATGAATTGCTTTGAATAGACTATTAGTAGAAATATGGATGTTGTGTTGGTAAGGATATGGAGAAATTGGAACCTTCTACACTGTTGATGGGAATGTAAATTGGCGCAGTCACTTTGAAAAACAGTGTGGCAGTTTCTCAAAATGTTAAATAGAGAGTTATCATATGATGCAGCCAATTCCACTCCTAGATATATACTCAAGAGAAATAAAATACGTGTACACTAAAACTTATACACAAATACATGGTCATGGCAGTGTTATTCCTAATAGCCAAAAAGTGGAAACAGCCAAATGTCTATCAATTGATGAATGGGCAAATAAAATGTGGCATGTCCATACAATGGAATATTTTTTAGCCATAAAAAGGAACAAAGTACTGATACATGCTAAAATGTTGATGAATTCTGAAATATTATGCTAAATAAAAGAAGCCAATCACAAAGGACCACATATTGTATGACTCCATTTATATGAAATGTTCAGAATAAGCAAGTTTAAAGATGGAAGGGACAGAGGATTGGTAATGATAGCTAAGAGGTGCAGAGTTTCTTTCTGGGGTGATGAAAATATTCTAAATTGATAGTGGAGATGACTGCACAACTTTGAATATACCAAAATCCATTGAACTGTACACTTAAAACATGTAAATTGCATAGTATATAAATTATATCTCAAAAAAGAAAGAAATACAGATGCCAAAACAGCAAATGAGGGCTCAGAAGGAAATATGTTATTCAAAACTTGTGGAGCGGGAATCCTTGTTATATAGCAGCAGAAAGTTTAGCAGAATTATGTCCTACAATAACATGCAAAGCAGAATTTACAAAGATGGTAACCTTGTTTCTTCTTGTTGTTTACAGTAAAATGCTGAAGGAAAGAGACAGACTGAGGGAAAAGTTGTTAAACAAAAAGAAACGAATACTCAGTGATTTGGAAAATTCTTTCCAGATCACAAAAAACTAAAATTAAGATATTCACTACCTAAAGAGAAAATGTCATGTGTGTGGCCATGCAGCCTTTTGTTGATACCTCAGAAAGACTGAAAGGTCAGACTATTCAGTCCATAAAAGGCTCTTTGAGGAGATTAAGCATGTTACTAGTAGATGCCCTCAACCATCTCAGCAGAAGCCAAAAATAGAGACAGGATTACTTGGAAAAGATTTCTAAGGGAGCCTCTTGTCTAATGGAGAAAATCCCCATGACACACAGGAGACCTGCAAGGTTCTTAACAATGCTATACAAACAGAAGTACTGCCAGCATGAACTAAAAGTGAGAGAAAGAAGATGAAAAGAAGGCTCTCATACCCATAAAATTCCACAGACTAGAAACAGGCTGTCAAAACTACCCAGCTGCAAAATCATGTGCCATCTGTCATGAAGGAAGGCTGGAGGGTGGAGCTATAAGCCCACAGGGACCCCAAAGGATTATTCTCAGGCCTTGGAACCAAATGGAGTTTGCCTGGCTAGATTTCAAAACTGCTTGGAAACAGAGACTCCTTTTTTCCTTCCATTTTCATCTGTAACTGTTATCCTATGTCTCTCCTACTACTGTGTTTTGAGAGCAGGTAACTTGTTTCTTGAGTTTCACAGATGAAGAGAAACTGCCTCAGGAGGGATTGGTAAAATATAACCAGAGCCTCACCCATATGTGATTTAGATAGTGAAATTCAGATGAAATTTTAAGACTCTGAGTTGATGCTGTAATGGGTTGAAACTTTTGGGAATGGGGTGAATGTATTCTGCCCGTGGGATATATATAATCTTTGAGGGTTAGACTGTGGTAGACAAAATAATGCACCCCTTCTCCAAAGGTGTCAATGTATCAATCCTCAGAATCTGTGAATATATTACTTTATATCACAAAGGGACTTTGCAGATATGACTACATGACAGAACTTGAGATGGGGATATTGTCTTGATTTATTTGGGTGTGTTCAAATGTATCACAAGGGTCCTTAGAAGTAGAAGAGGGAGGCAGAAGAAGAGGTCAGAGTGATACAAAGTGAGGACACTGGGCATAGTGGCTCACATCTGAAATCCAAGCACTTAAGGAGGCTGAGGTGAGAGGACTGCTTGAGCTCAGGAGTTTGAGACCAGCCTGGGTAGCATAACAAGACCTTGTATCTACAAAAAAATTAAAGAAAAAAAACTAGCCAGGCACAGTGGGGCTCACCTGTAGTCCCAGCTACTTGGAAGTCTGAGGTGGAAGAATCGCCTGAGCCCAGCAAGTCAAGGCTGTAATGAGCCATGATCATGTCACTATACTCCAACCTGAGAGACAGAGTGAGACTCCCAACTCAAAAAAAAAACCAAAAAAAACCAGAAGAACTCTGCTATTGCTTGCTTTGAAGAGGGAGAAAGAAGGCCACAAGCCAAGGAATGTGGGTAGCCTCTAAAAGCTGGAAGAGGTAAGGAACTTCTGGAAAAAAATACAGCCCACACAGACAACTTAATTTTAACCTAATGAGACCTATGTCATACTTTTAACCTACATAATGGTTAAAGACAAAAAAATTGTGTTATTTTAAGCCATAAGTTTGTGAAAGCTTTTATAGCAGGAGTAGAAAACCAATATGGTAATAATGGAACATCAGCTTTGCAACCTGTTCTTGAGTCATTCAGACATGTTAACAAGCTGGGAATCTGAGTTACGGTATATGGGAACTCTGTGTATCATTTCTGCCATTTTTATATAAATTTGAAATTGTTTCAAATTATTTTTTTCATTAATGGAAATTACATTTTGATTTACCAGAATTTTCTGAATATTAGTTCTGTGGGATATATTACCTTTCTAAGGCTAGAAGACAGAATTTAGTCATCTCTGTACTAAAAAGGGCTGTGGTAACCTTTATGTTAATCTCCCTTTACCCTGAAGGGTTCACCTCATCTTCATAGCTGTACTCAGTTGAACAAAAGTAAGGGAAATATCAGGTAGGCTAAGGAACAACCCTCAGCACTTTCTCTGCCTCTAGATTCTCTGGCTCCAGAACCTTTTACCTGTAGATAGTGATATGGGGGGATACAGGACGGTTTGAACATGTGTTCTTATTCCAAAACTGCTCCATCTCTTCTTTGGCTGTGGTTCCCAAAGGAACAGCACTAAAATAAAACCAGAAAATTTTAAAATTACAAGTAAGCCTGATTTATACAAAAGCAGAAAATGCCTCTATCCAAAAAAAAAAAAAAAAAAAAAAGTAAGCTGGTTTAATACTTTGCATAACAAAAATATTCTTAGGAGAGGTTAAGGTGGACTGGACAAACTCATTGTTTGTCCTCCACTTACCTTTTTTTGAGTCTGAGTCTCACTTTGCTGCCCAGGATGGAGTGTAGTGACATGCTCACGGCCACCATAGCCTCAACCTGCTATGCTCAGGCAACCCTTCCCCCCAGCCTTCCAAGTAGCTGGAACTACAGGTGCACGCCAGTATATCCAGGTAATTTTTAAAATTCATTGTAGAGAAAAGGTCCCGCCACATTGCCCAGGCTAGTCTCAAATTCCTGAGCTCAGGCAATTCTCTCGCCTCAGCCTCTCAAAGTGCTGAGATTTCAGATGTGAGCAACCACACCCGGCAATTTTTATGCCAAGTTTGATTCAGTTAATAACCTCAAAGAAGTCATATCAGAGGATAGCTCAGCTTTCTAATCTTACCCAATACACAGGTCTGGCAATAAAAAGCCCACATTTCAAAACCATTAGCATAAATGGGCTATCCTTTCCCAGGCCACTCATGCGATCTCATCCATTATTATCTGCTCTTATCTGACTTTTCAAGATTCCCTTTCAGATTCTCAAAAATCAGGAACTGAATTCAGCTCAGTACCTCTGAATAGTTTCTTGGTTCCCTTTCAGATTCTCAAAAATCAGGAACTGAATTCAGCTCAGTACCTCTGAATAGTTTCTTGGTTTCCCTTGTCACGGGGCTAGGTTGAAACAAACGGTCAAACAGCTATGCTCAACAATTTAATTTACAATGTGCCTATAGTAAACGTAATTCCATCTCTCTCAAAAAAATATTTCCCTATAGATTACTTATTAGTTATAAAAGGAAATAATAGTAACTTTATAGTAGAAAAAAACCTAGTACACATTCTTATTCAAATGATCAAAGTTTAAAATTACTGACAATGGGAAAATATGGCATCAAATGGCTTCTGATATGATGATGTACTCAAGATATAACATCACCTATAGCTCTAGCCAAAAATGCATAACCTGAAACAATCAGACAAACCCAACCTGAGGAACACTACAAAACAACTAGTCTATAGTCCCAGCTACTTGGGAGGCTGAGGCAGGAGGATCACTTGAGCCCAGGAGGCTGCAGTGAGCTATGACTGTGTCACTGCACTGCAGCCTGGATGACAGAGCAAGACTCTGTCGCAAAGAAAACAAAAAACAAAAAACTGCTCTGTATTCTTCAAAAATGTCAGTGTTATAAAAGACTAGGAAAAGCTAAAAAGGCTAAGACACCGTTCCAGATTATAGGATACTAAAGAAAGAGGACAACTAAATACAATTTGTGAGTCTGATTAGATCCTGGATGGGGACTGGGGATTATATTTCTATGAAGTACATTATTTGGAACAAATGGAAAATCTGAAAGTCAATTATATCAGATAAGAGTTCATCAATGTTAAATTTCCTGAATTTGATAATTACGCTTATATAATTACACTTGAATTTATAATTGTGCTATATAATTACAAAGACAGTTTATTTGTCCTTAAGAGAAGTGTTTACAGGTAAAGGGTCATGATATTCACAATTTACTCTCAAAGCATTCACTGAAAATAAAATAACAATAATTAAATATTTATCAGGCTGAGCCACACTAAATTGTCAATATTCAGCCAGTTATGACATACCAAAAAAACCAATTTTATGTGGTACAACCTAAAATACAGAGAGAGATCTAAGTAAACATAGCAAAATGCTAACAATAAGTAAATCTGAATAAAAGGCATATAGAACTACATCATACTTTTCTTACAACTTTTCTGAAAGTATAAAATATTTCCAAAATATAAAGTTTAAAAAAAACAAACCACAAAGGCAAGCAGCCTAGGAATAATATAGCATGAAATATATTTAAAGTCCTGGGAGCTGCCCAAATCAAAGGTTATAAGAAAAAAAAGCATTAAGGGAAGAAAGATAAAACAGAAAGAAGAGAATTAGATATGCAGGAAGGAATCAAGAAGACAAAGCAAATCAATGAAGTTAAATACAGCAGAAACGCTGAAAGTAAGAAAAGTAAGACCAAATAAATATCTTTCTTTCTTTTACTCCCAGCTGAGAAAAATAGTGACCACAATTACTAAAGTTTCAGCCAGTTGTCTACAGCAAAATGTCTGCAACTGCCTGCTTTCATACATAGCCCCCAAATCTAAGACAACAACCTATTGCTTTTTCCTCAAGGGGGGAAAGAAAGATAATGTCCAGACTCAGAAACTTACTTTCTGATACAGAGCTGAGGACTAAGGTGGGCTCGGAGGCAATGACGGCCAACATGTCTGCAAGATAAGAGAATCAAGAATCAAAATACATTTAAAATCAACTTCAGTTTGTCAACTTCTCTATTTTTGTGCTGAGATGGACTAAAAATAAGATGAAAACAATGACAGTATCCTTAATATCAGTTTCTAGTTGAAAAGCTACAACCCTAAGTAACTTGAGAATAATCAGAAATATTACCTACAAATGCAAATAAAGTTTTAACGCAACACAAATAATACAAGGTAAAGTAACCAGTTGGTAATGTTCAACAGAGAAATATAGCAAGTGATTTTTTTAAAGCTAGGTCTTACAGGTGATTAAAAGACAGGATTTAAAAAAAAAAAAAAAACAATGCCAGCTCAGGTGCAGTGGCTCACACTTATAATTCCAGCACTTTAGGAAGCCGAGGTGAGAGGATTGCTTGAGCCCACAGGTTCGAGACCAGCCTGGGCAATTTGGTGAGACCTCATCTCTACAATAAATCAAGAAAAATTAGCTGGGTGTGGTGGCACATGCCTGTAATTCCAGCTATTTGGAAGGCTGAGGCAGAAGAATTGTCTGAGCCCAGCAGGTCAAGGCTGTGGTGGCCCCAAGCAGCGAGCCACTGCACTCCAGCCTGGGCGACAGAGTGAGACTCTGACTCAAAAAAAACCAAAAACAAAAACAAAAAAAGCCATTGGCAACAGCAAGCATAAAGCTTAGTTATAGCAGAGCTATATCAAATGAATGAATGAATGAAAGGTTAAAGAACAAGGATTCTGGATGAATTTCAAGTCAAAAGTCTCTCATATAATAGTGCAAAATATATGGGAATGCAAAATGTTTTTACCAACCCCATAAAAGCATACTTAAAAGGAATACACAAGTTTTCTCTTTTTGAGTCAGAGTCTCACTCTGTTGCCAGGCTGGAGTTCAGTAGCACTCTCACAGCCACTGCAGCCTGGACCTGCTGGGCTCAGGTGATTCTTCTGCCTCTGCCTTCCAAGTAGGTGGAACTACACAGGAGTGTGCTACCACGTCCAACTTATTTTTTGATTTACTGTAGAAATGAGGTCTCACCAAGTTGCCCAGGTTGATATTGAACCCCCAAGCTCAGGCAATCCTCTCACCTCATCCTCCCAAAGTGCTGAGATTACAGGATTGATCAATTGTGCCCGGCCAGGCACACAAGTTTTCTATTAAAAAGTTGCTATTTTTGAAATGTATACATCAGTACCAAAATTGTTTTTCAAGGTAAAAACTAAGATGTACCCAGACATTCTATATAAGGAGAATTTAACTGATCCAGTTATCACGGATCAGTTGAGCATCCCTAACTAGGAAACCCAAAATCTGAAATGCTCCAAAATATGAAACCTTTTGAGCGCCAACAAGATGCTCAAAGGAAATGCTCATTGGAGCATTCTGGATTTCAGTTTAGCAATGCTCCACAACAAAATATAATGCAAATATTCCAAAATCTGACATTTTAAACAGTTCTGGTCCCCAAGCATTTCAGATAAGGGATACTCAATCTTTATTATGAAAAACACATGACCACCATACCCTTTAGTCACATAATTATATCAAGTCTTTCCAAAAGCATTTAAGGCGATCAGAATGAAGTTAGAGACTAAAAATTACAAGTAGCCGGGCTCGGTGGCTCAGCCTGTAATCCCGCACCTTTGGGAGGATGAGGTGAGTGGATTGCCTGAGCCCGCAGGTTCGAGACCCACCTGGGCAGCGAGACCTCATCTCTACAATAAATCAAAAAATCAGCCGGGTGTGGTAGCGCATGCCTGTAATTCCGGCTACTTGGAAGGCTGAGGCGGAAGGATCACCGGAGTCCAGCAGGTTGAGGCTGTGGTGGCCGGGAGCGGCCATTGCACTCCAGTCTGGGCGACAGAGTGAGACTCCAACTCAAAAAAAAAAAAAATTACAAGTACACTGATTCAACATACGTTAACATCATATTCACTACATGCAAGGCACTATAGAGACACAAGATCTTCCAAGAGCCAACGACCTTCTAAAAAAGATCATGATGTCCCTCACACCATTGACAGTAGATGCACAAACATTTCAAAAGCCTTATGCTTTACACTGGTACACTAGAAGGGTCTACTATTTGAAGAGAAAAATCCAACCAACACTTCCTTCTTTAGCTTTTCCCTCTTTCTGGCTTTAAAGGCAGGAGGTGAATACAGACATTGTGTACCAAGGCTCCCAGAAAGAAGTGGGAACAAATCTCTTTAAATCAATTGAATTGTGACTCTGAAGTTGCAGGGCATGCATTCCTCACATCAAGCTAGGCCCAGTCACTCAGCTACCCAGCAAGAGTTTGCAGATGTGGGTTGGAATCTATGGCGTGCTCTCTGTCTAGTGCTATTGTTTCCCAGACAAATACCAATGTAAACTTTCCACAAGGCCCTTACAGAAACTAGTTGCACAAATGCCATAACCTTACTGGAAATATGACAAAAGTAGATATCTACCCTTGCCTTTCATGTGAAACCAAGAACTTTGAAAATATTTTTCTCTTTTTTCACCCAAGAATAGTGCTTTATATGTTACTTCTAGAAAGCAAGAGCATTTTGTTTTATTTTTAATTAACAAGCCAAAACTTATAATTTTTAGTTAGTGTTGTCCCATTCCAAATGCACTATACATGTCTCCCCCAAATATAATCATTGTTCAAATCATTTTTGAAACTCTTCTCTGGAGTGGGGCAGCAACAGTAACATCGAAATGTCATTGGAAAGTTAAGAAGCCAGACTGGAGTCTTAGATCTGCATAAATTGTGCAATTTCAAAGAATGACTGAGCTTCAGCTTTTTCACGTATGAAATGACATTGACAATAACTATCTTACTGATGACTGGGAGAATTATATGAGAAAATGTACAGAAAAGCATTCTCTAAACTGTAATATATCACATATATGTATCATATATATCACTGGTCCCCCCCAAAGTGTTTAGAATTTACATCACATTCTTTTTAAAACCTTCAGTGGTGCTAAAAATATTCATCTGCTGAAAATGAACTTGATTTCTGGAAAAAAACAGAAGTTATTCAAAGCCAAGTCTATGTGATCAAACTGAAAAATACTATTTTTAATCTAAAACAAGATGTGACTATAATACGAGTTTCTCTTGTATGTCCTCTAAGCTTGATTTGATGGTATCCCAAAATTTCATAAATGTCTTGGTAACAGCAACAATAGATTTATAACCTTAAATGATGAACAGCAATAATTTGCATATAGGTTCTGATTAATGATTTATCATCTAACTCCCAAGCTACAAACTAAGTCTTCCTCATTCCTTTTCTCTCTCTCTCTCTCTCTGTATATATATATACATATATATATGCACGGCATCACCCAATCCTACCCTTACCATTTAGGAAACTTCATTTCAATCCATTGCTTTGGTCTATATCCTCTTCATTTCTCACTATGACTATAAGAGGAACTCCCAAACTGATCTCCCTAGCACCAATCTCTTCCCTATCATTCAATATCACCAACACTGACTTACTGAAAAATAAAGCTGGTTTCATCATTCTTCTGCCTGAAAGTCTTTAACAATTCCCCATTGTACAAGTGAAACTTTTAAGATTCAAACTGTGGGCAAACAAGGCACTTCTCATCATGGCCCAATCCAACTCTCTGCAGCTATCTTCCCACAAATTCCCTAAACTTCCACCACACTGAACGTTGCATTATGTCCAAATAGAGGAAGCCCTCTCATTGACTACATGCCTTTGCTCATGATAGTCTCTGACTAGAACCTTCCTTACAGCCTGATAAACTCATTCCTCAAGACCCAACTCCTGGATGGCAATATCACCATTTCTTTAGCCTTACTTGCCATATCTGCCATGCTCTCATACCACTTGCTCCTATCTATCAACATTTATTATGTTGTTTAATAATTAATCTATTTATTTATCTCCCCTGCTAGACTTTGCACTCCTCAAGGACAGGACTTTGGAATACTTAGCATTCATGGCACCTAAAATGTCTGACACATAAAAAGACTAAAAAATAAAAAAGGTTTGTGAACGAGTATGTTGTTTTAAAAAGTAGCCACATGAATTGAGAGTTAAACCTTATTTTTTAGAGGTGTTTCATATACAGCATTTAATACAATGAGTACTGGCCAGATAGTTAATGACTCTTGGTGACTTTGTGCTTAAGAAGCATGAACATTATTAGATAAAAACCCAGCTGTCATTAATTAATTCTCTATCTCCTTCTTGGTTTTGGCGAGTCATTCCTTGACTGAGTGACAAGGGTGTGTGTTAACTGGCTGTCTGTTCATCCCTGGCTGGTCCCCAAACTATTTAGGGAATATACAAAATATAGAGCATATATTCAAAAGCCACGATACACAATATCCTAATAACTAGTAAGTTTTAATTAGTCAAGCATTAAAAATGTTTAAATAGGGTGGAAAGGAGGAAGGACGAGACGCTGGTCTGGTCAAAGGATACAAAATTTCAGTTAGGAGAAATAAGTTCAAGAGATACACTGCACAACACGGTGACTATAGTTAACGATGACTGTAAATCTGAAAATCACTAAGAGTAGATTTTGAGTAGATTTCAAGTGTTCTCATCACAAAAAAAATGTGAGGCAATGAATGCTAATAGCTCCACTTAGCATACACAATGTATATATATTTTAAAACATCATGTTGTACATCATAAATACAATTTTAAATTTTCAGTTAAAAACAAGTAAATAAAAAATGTTAAGTTTAACCAATATTTATCTTAAGTGGGCCCAAGTTATTACCATTTTCAACTCACAAATGAGGAAACTACAATCATAAAATCAATGACTTTGATTTGTCCAAAATGGAGAACTAGAAAGCAGCTCCTAGAATTTCTTAGAAAGTATTTTCCTTTGAGGTTAAATCAACATGTTATAAATAGTTGCAACCTCCTCTGGTAAAATAGAATTAGACCGGGAACTTCTATTAAGAAAAAAAAATGGCCGGGCTCGGTGGCTCAGCCTGTAATCCCGCGCCTTTGGGAGACTGAGGTGAATGGATTGCCTGAACCCGCGGGTTCGAGACCCGCCTGGGCAGCGAGACCTCATCTCTACAATAAATCAAGAAATCAGCCGGGCGTGGTAGCGCATGCCTGTAATTCTGGCTACTTGGAAGGCTGAGGCGGAAGGATCGCCGGAGCCCAGCAGGTCGAGGCTGCGGTGGCCAGGAGCGGCCACTGCACTCCAGCCTGGGTAACAGAGTGAGACTCCAACTCAAAAAAAAAAAATGTTTTTAACTCTATATTTCTTCTCCTTTAAAGGGCCTCATAAGAAATAGAGTAGCACCCTTTCCGTGAGAGCTTCAGATTACCACTAATTAAAAAGAAATGTATTTCTTGGCATTGAATCTTAATGTAGACAGAGCTACACGACTCAAAATGATACTATCTGGACACACTTAATGAGTATGAACTTCAGCTTCTAAGTATTAACCCCCAAAATAGACGGTTTGGAATTAATACGATTATTTCAAGTTATATATTAATTCTACCAAGAGTCTCTAGCATCTACCAAAATGTGAAAAAAGATACATACGGAGATGAAAAAAACAGGGAGAAAATAAAGGATTAAGATCAACCTGATTTTGTCACCGAGGAATGATTTTGTCACAGAGAAAAACTAAACAAAGTCCCTCTATTTTTATTCTGGGTGACTGAAGTGGAAAGAGAAATGAGAGCACATTTGGGAAAATCGGGAATTGAAGTCTCAACAGCACTGAAGCTAACTTTCCATAACAAATAATTTCCAAAAATAGAGCTGGCACAAATTTTTGCTGGGATTTGTACCAGGAGTGTCTAAAGGCGCTAGTCGCTACGCCTAGTGAGGTTCTGAGGAGAGAATGCAACCCAGACACTGGAAAGTTTAGGAGGGAAGAAACTCTGGGTATGTCTCCCGACAGCTAATGCACCTTTTACAGAAAAAGTGGGCCATCCACTCCCTCGCCCAAATACAAAGAGAAACTCAAAATGAATTTCCTGGGCTGCTTCGGGGCATCGGGGGACCATTCTGGGTGCTACTGCTCCATCGCCAAGCCCAGTGGGGATCCAGGCCTCCCGCACCCTCTGCCAGGAGCCCTGAGAGTGCCCACTCACTGCCAGCAGCAGCCAGCGTTTGCAGGAGTCTGAAGCAGAGGCAAAACGCACCAAGATCTTTCTTCCCGAGATCCCTAAATACGACCTCGAAACCGTGGGACCCACGGCTGGCTGACCTCGAAGCTATTTATTTCAAGGCTCGGCTCTGGGTACGGTCCCGAGGGCCTTTTGGAGAAGACCTAGAGACCAGGAAGGGAGAAAGGAGGAAATTCGCCCCGCCCCTCGGTATGGAATAACTGACCCCGAAGCCCCAGGGAGCGCACCGGAGCAGCCGGGGATGGGAAGAGGATCGCTAGGACTCCCGAGGGCGTGGCCTTCACACCCGTGGGTCCCTTCCCTGCCCAGGCACGGGGTAAACAGCCAGTTTAAGTCTCCCGAGGGACACGGGCACCGACTCCCAGCCCCACACTAAAGTCACCTCAGCAAGAGCGCAGCCATCTTGGGTTCCGGCCTGGACGGAAGTGACGTCCGCCCCGTCACCTGTGGGCGGAGGCGGGCGGCCGTCACGTGACGGCAAGGCGTGCCTTAAGAGGCTTTCTCCGAGGGCTTCTCTGCTCAGCTGCGCCGTAGGATCGGTTGGCTTTTCCTCAGTTCGTGGCTCTTCTCCCAAGATCCCGCCCCCCTCCACTGACTTGTTCCGGAGATGGCCAGGGTTCGGCAGAAACGCCGCCGGCCCCGAGTCTGTAGCCTGTGTTCCACCTGCGGACGCATTCACGTTTTATCGCACCCGCGGACCGCAGACTTGCCCAGCTTCTTCCTCGAGGACTCCGCAGTCTGCTCCACAACCCCTCCCTCCCAGGTCGGCCCCAAAACGTCGTGGCTGGCCGGCGGAGACACTCAGGAAAAAGATGCGTTGGGCTCCCGGCGGTTTTAATGTGACGCTTCACCCAGAGACACACAAGTTGAGACCTAAACTGGGGAGTAGGAGGAGAGGCCGCCATTCCCCAGAACGAGGACCCTCCTCTACCCGCTTCGAGGAGGCCCACAGTGCCTGCCGGGTTTGAGCTGTCACATGAACCAGACGCCCACCAGGCGAGGACAACGCTCCCTTGTTGCTTGTTTCAGCGCAATGTGGGCGACACCCACAGCCAGAAGAACCTGGAATGGGGGGGCGAACACGCTTTGATTTATGTATATATACATAAACAGTGTTGAAGAATGCAAGGACAGGGATTAACTGCAGAGCACTCACGACTGAAGAGAGAAAAAGAGCGAGCGAGAAAAGAAAGGAACAGAGTGCAAAAGTTCTTGACCCTTTTGGCGCGGTAGGGTGGGGAGGAATAAATGGCACAGCCCAGAACAACTCCTATTTCTAAATAAAGCATACTGAGTTATATTAATATTCGGATCTTATTTATATTTAGCACCCCTGCACTTTTAAATAGCACTAATTCACTTATTTCTGCATCAGATGATTAATACTATTTTGCATTTCTATACTGCTTGACAAAGAAAGCACTTTCATAGACTTTAGGGTTGAAGGGGCTCTTAGGAAGCTCTCTAATCCAGCATCCTTGACAGTTCATCTTCAGGACCCTGCTCCAACACAGTTGATGATCGGCATCTTAAAAAACAAGTTTCATTTAGTGAACAGCTTAATCATTAGAAAGTTGTTCTATTACACTGCACTCCAGCCTGGGCAACAGAGTGAGACTCTGGAAAAAAGTAAGAAAGAAAACACAGTTTTCTGCCATTGAACTTCCAGTTATTGATCCTACATTGGCCCTCTGAAACTTCACCTTAACAAAACCAGTAAATGCACCTTTCACTCAGCTATTTAAATAATTTCGTTTAATATATATACTGACTTTTTGCCAGGGTCTATGAAAAGTGCTGTAGAGGATTCGAAGTCCTCAAGAAGCTTAAAGCCTTAGCAGGATCAATAAATAAATACAATAAAGAAAGTAGCGATGCCATGAAAAGGGTACAGATAAAAGGAATGGGATAAGGAGAAAATGACTACTTATAACCGGGAGGTGGGTTTAGAAATGTTTTCTTTTTTTTCAACAGTATGTTGAGTTGCTCTTTTCTAGGAATGTTGATTACAACATCCTGTAAACATTTTGATGATGATGATTTTGCCTGTGAACTTTATAAGCAAGCCTTATATTTAGAGCTCTACATCCCAAATCTAATACCAATCACCCAACCCACCAGGACTGTGCCAAGGAGTTACTGTGAGACTGGCGCTTTACACAGATGAACTTGCAATACTCATAGCAGAAACAACAGTGACACCGCACTCAACCTCTAGAATCCATAACTGCTGGAAAAGAATGTCACATTGAAATTCAAACCAAACATAAATCAAACTCTTTATTACCAGAGCTTAAAAGTTAGCAGGAGGGCCAGGCACAGTGGTGGACACCTGTAGTCCCAGCTACTTGGGAAGCCGAAGCAGGAGGATCACTTGAGCCCAGGAGCTCTTGCTATGGTGCCCAGGAGGATCACTTGAGCCTGGGCACCATAGCAAGACCCCATCTAAAAATAAAAACACAATATGTAAAAGTAAGCAGGAGGAAGAAGCAGAATCTGGCCAAGGCCTGAAGTGAGAGAAAGACAGGGGAAGGAAAGAAGGGACAACAATTCCAGATGGGAGTATGAGAGGTTTGGTGAAAGGCAAAATCATTTCAGATGATCCCGTGGAGGGAAACAAAGAAGGCAACAATCAGGAAAGCTGGGTCAGAAAGGTTTTTGCTAGATTTGCCTTAAAACTCAGCTCTCACCATGTAGACATTCCCATCACTAACTCCACCCCAAACTCTTCAGGAGCCTCCCATGATATGCCAAACTAAATCCATCCTCTTTAGCCGTCACTTAAGGTCCTTCACTAACTAGCTTCAACTTTCCTGTCCATCTTGTTTCCTATTAAGTCACTCCAAGTTCGCCCAAATGAAGTCAAAGTGGATGGCATAAGATCGGCCCTGAAGATGCCCAATACTTCACAGACAAACACAACACACACGCATGCACTTGTGTGCACACACATTTTCTCTTATTTGTCCTTGCTTTCGCTGCTCTGCCTGGTACCCCTCCTTACCTCCCTTTTCTAAAATAGCACTTCTTCAGGCTTGATTCTCATCTAATATTGCCTCCTAGACGTGACTACTCCTTTTCTGAACCTCATGTGTTAAATGAAGTTTATTTTTCATTTCTAATCACCTACATGATTTACTCAGTCTTCTTGATGTTGCAACTGTGTCTCTCTCCTTTGTACTCCAGTACTTTGTTCATTACTAAACTACTCATCATGGTTTATTATAGTGGGTTGTTGATGGTTTTGTCCTCTAATCCTCCCATCTCTGCTCCCCCACCCAAACTAGATCTGGAATTACTTGCAGGCGAGACTTAATTTTTATTCTTTTTGTATCACCTGCCTTCCCATAGTTTACACATAGCTGGTACTCAATAAAAGTGTGTTGCTTTGCTCCAAATTGATATGAACTTGGACTGTAGCATGAGGCATTGAAGGACTTCCTGACAGAGGGGGAAGGTCTTCTTCCCTGGAAATAGCCCAGTGGAGAAAAGCTATCTGGGAAGAGCCACCCAGGATGCAGGGAGACGGGGGGAAAAAAGGATTCCCAAAGGACCTGGTCATGTCAGCAAGTTTGTAGTGCAGTCTATGGTGGTCACAATGACAAAGGATGTCTGATTTTCAGAGTTCTCTAGAGGAAACCTGGCTCTTGTTCCTAGGACTGAGGCAGCGTTTTCAGGCAAGAAGACTTAGGAGGAATCCCTTTTTATGGCTTTTGGATTGAGACTCTCTGTCTATCTGTTCCTCAGAGAAGTGTGTCTGTGTCCCTCTTCCTGTCCCTCTCCCTCGCCACCCCCCAACATTCCAGCCTGGGGCAGGGAGAGGCCAGTAGACACAAAGCTTTCTGTGTATGGGGTGGTATGTGGTCCCCCCACCCCTCCACTCAGACTATACAATGCCCCTTCTGCTCCCTGCACTCTGCCCCACTCCCCACCACCTCTCAACTGCAAATGCCAGGCTGCAATTGGTTACTAGCTCAGGACAGCCCCCTCATGCTGGAGCCCTGGGGGATTTTAAACGGGTTCCAGGAATCCCCCGCTCAGGTCCTGGTCCCCCACTCTCCAACCCCACAGACGCTCTGGGCCTGGGCCCCTGCCCCTGCCCAAGCTATGGCTCCCGGGGCTCCTTCTTCCAGCCCCAGCCCTATCCTGGCTGTGCTGCTCTTCTCTTCTTTGGGTAAGTGGAGCCGCCTCAGTCTGGGAGCCTTGGGACTTAGGTGGTCTCTCAGCAGCATCCCACTGCTTCCACTGCACTCCCCACTGCTGCCAAAGAAAGAGCCAGCAGAAGTAGGAAGGTGACATTGTATTCAGAGAGAAACATACATTTAGAGGGAGGCAGTAGAGGCATGATATGAGGGCAAATGGTAGAAAGGAGTGTGGAGTGCTCCCTAGACTCAGGCTGAAAACAGTAACTTGCGCCCAGTGCCATACTAAGAGCCTAGCGGAAGCAGTGTGAGAGCTGGGATGGAGCAGAGTCAAGTGCCTGGGCCAGGCCCCACTCATTCCCTTGTGGTACAGGAGGTACCTAACCTTAGTGCCCCGAAGAAAAAGTTAGAGTATGGTCTAAAGAGGTTAGCCCACGGCTTATGGTCTCAGCTCCGCAGATCCTGTCTTTTAGTGTTTCTCTCCGTGACTCCTCGTCTATTATGTGGGTGCATGGAGCAGAAGGGAGGTTCTGTGAGATTCTGGGATCTTGTCCCTCTAAAGCTGTCTTCCTTCATAGTTGACCAGCCCTTTCCTTTGTCCCCTGGCAGATGCTGGGTGAGCAAGAGAAGGTCAAAGCAGAGTTATTTAAATAGATTCTTCCCTTCTCTGCACTGCCTTGAATCCTAGCACAATGAGTGGGTAGCAGGCAAGCCGGGGTGAAAGTGGGGGATGACAAAGGAAGGGGGACTGGATACAATGTCAAGGTTCTCCACTGTCAGCTCCGTGAGTCCTAGACTCTCCTGGGCTGTACTGTACTATTCTGGGGTACCTTGAGAAAACAGGAAGGACATGGAGGTGGAGAAGGGCATGGTAAGAGAAATGGGAGAATTAAACGTGGAGCATGAGTGGAGGGAGATGACTGTCCCAGCACCTGTGTCACTCAGCCATTGAACAGAACTGAGAAGGGCGATGGCTGATGTTATGACAGGAAGAATAGAACTCATCCTATAAATAACCTTCCTTGTTATATTGGGGATTAACAAGAAGGCTGTGAGGTGGAAGTCCCAGGAGGTGAGTAAATGATACTGGTGCTGAGGTGGGAGATTCAGGACAATGGGGTGGGGGTGACATGAGGACCCCAACATTGGTCAGAAAATGGGACATTGTTTGGTTGCCTCCTCCCCCTCCTGTAGAACAAAAGGGTCTACAGTTGCCCCTACCCAGGGCCAGCCCACACACATAGTCTCTCTGGAATGACCTTCCTTGTGTGGGTGAGTCTTGGGAGTGGCACTGGGCTAGAATGGCCAGGAGGAGGGCGAGGATGGTCCGAACCACAGAGAGCTCCCATGCAGAGTCATCTGAGCTCTGGGCATAGGGTCTTACTCTTCACCCAGCTGAGAGGGTATGAAGTCCTTCCTCCCTGATTCCCAGTTAGGAACAATCTATATGGCAAGCAGGGATTCAGCAGTGAGAGCAGTTATGCCAGGGAGGAAGACTCACAATCTCTAGTTACGTTCACTTTTTTTCTGCAAGAAATTTGTTTGTCATACTGTGAAATACTATGCAGCTATTGAAAACAAGATTGATGTCTGTGAACCAATGTAAAAAGCTCCCCTGGATACATATGAATCAAAAAAAGAAAAGAAAAAAAAGAGTGTAATGCAATGTGTTCGCAAAAAAGAAAGCACCACAAAACTATTTGTTATAAGTGCATGTATATCTTGAGTTTATTGAGTTTATATTGAATTTAAGTCATAGGAAATGCATGCACATTAAACGGATAACAGAGGTTATATCTGGGAGGGGACCATAGGAAAGAAGTTGGTTGGGGTGTGTGTTAATGGAGACCTTAGCTTTATTTCTATTGCTTGAATTGTTTATAAGAAGCACACAATATGTATTACCTGTATAATTTATAACAAATTTCAAAAACTTAAAACTGGGCACTAAAGGATAGATTAAGAGTTAGTTACTGATTGGAAGAGAAAGTGAGCCTCGAAGACAGAGCCCAACCTTGGGAAGTCCTCAAGAGAATTCTGTTACTGCTGATTTCATTTCCTCTACAGAAGTGCTGAAGAGCTTAGACAGCATCTATGCTCATCTATTCAGATTGTCCAGAGAGACCTGGGCTTCAGAATTGTTTCCGTCCCAATCCTTCCCATGGCCTGTGATCTGGGATTCCTTGATATCCTATTGATCTCACATCCCCATAACCCTTACTGGGCCCACATGCATATCTGGTTCCCCCTCTGTGCTTGCAGTGCTGTCCCCGGCCCAGGCCATTGTGGTTTACACGGACAGGGAGGTCCATGGTGCTGTGGGCTCCCGGGTGACCCTGCACTGCTCCTTCTGGTCCAGTGAGTGGGTCTCAGATGACATCTCCTTCACCTGGCGTTACCAGCCCGAAGGGGGCAGAGATGCCATTTCGGTGAGTGCGTGGGGGAAATCCTGGGGCTGGATAACAGAAAGGGGATTTCAGAGAACAACAGAAAAGAGACCTTGGACTAAGGATGGGGAGATCCTTTATGACCATAACCCAACTTTGGTAAGGTAAGTGACCATCTTTGTCATCCTTAGACCAGGACCTGTCTGCATTGCCCCCTCCCCCAGCACTGCCCTTTTCAGCCCAGGATCCCTGGCCCTGTGGCTGGAGCTAAGCTTTGACATCCCTGTTCTCACTATGGTCCTCTCACATGCTCCCCCCCCCCCCCCCCCGTTCCTCGTAGATCTTCCACTATGCCAAGGGTCAGCCCTACATCGACGAGGTGGGGACCTTCAAAGAGCGTATCCAGTGGGTAGGAGACCCTCGCTGGAAGGATGGCTCCATTGTCATACACAACCTAGACTACAGTGACAATGGCACTTTCACCTGTGACGTCAAAAACCCTCCAGACATAGTGGGAAAGACCTCTCAGGTCACGCTCTATGTCTTTGAAAAAGGTGTGAGAGGGACAGGGGACAGGGGTCTGGGAGGCAGCTCAGGGAGGGCCTCCAGGAGGACAGGTAGTCTGGAGGAGGAGGCCGAAAGCCCGGCCTAAGGACGTTCGGGCTCTGGGAGGGTGGCGCAGGCAGCCTTGGCTAGGAGTCCTGCATCCTCAACCACAGGGAATTGGCGTGGAGCTGGGAGCCACGGTTCTGGTCCCTGCTCATGCCGCCACTTGTCCTCCCGCCTCTCCTAGTGCCAACTAGATACGGGGTGGTGCTGGGAGCCGTGATCGGGGGTGTCCTCGGGGTGGTGCTGTTGCTGCTGCTGCTTTTCTACCTGGTTCGGTACTGCTGGCTGC